TGTAAAGCCATCAGCTGGATCTGAGGAGCAGCCATACCTCCAAATGGGTTTTACCAGTCCCCATGTGGCCCATCCATGGCACCTGCCTGCCACCTCTGCCCCCCCCCACCCCTGTGACGGTTGGAATTAGCAGCCCCTGGTGGCACTGTAGTCATTGACTGGGGGACGGTGTGGAGGATCTTGGCTCCAGGGTTATTATGTAATTCAAGAATGCATGGTCTTTCCAGAGAGGCAGTGGTAGCAGTGCTGGAAGAAAAACACCTTCCAGGCTAACAAGTGACATGACCTCCAATGTGGCCTCTGATGTGGCCACCCTAGGGAAGGCTCCAGCATGGCCCCTTGCTGGGAGATTTGCCTCTGCAGATATTGGAAAGAGGCTCAGTTGCTGAGAGGAGACTGCTCTCAGCAACTGTGTGAGCCCAGTGTGAGGACAGCGTGCCCAGAGCTTGCAGCAGCGGAAGGTGGGAGCCCTGGCCCTAGTGGGGCCTCATGGGGAGCTCAGAGAAAGTGGCAGGGTTCCAGGTCAAGGATGGGTCTCATTCAGTGGAGGTTCTGGGGGACCCTGTGGCTTCCACGATAATGTCATTGGCTGGGTCACAGTGCCTGACCCTAGTAATGATATGATTGAAGTCCAAGTACTAAGTGCTCACCAGTCACCAGGCACTGCTACATGTGTTTGGTGCCTTATTTTTAATTTCTTAAAGAGGTGTATGAAATAAGTACTATTATTGCCCCATTTGACATGTGAGGAAACTGAGGCACATAGAGGTGAGGAGACTTGCTCAGCTGAGGAGTGGTCATGCGGGATTCACACCCCATCTGTCTGAAACCCTAGCCCACCTTCTTTCCATTGGGCTGTGGGGTGTTTCCTTAAATGTTTATTGCTGTTTCTCTCATGCACCTCTTTTCATAGCTGCAATTAGAATGTTCCAGATGGCTGGCCAGGTGTGCAGGGTCTCCTTTGGTGGAATTTGGCTGAAGAAAGTTCCTCATGCGGTCGACTGGTGCACACACTGAGGCCCCTGTCTGGCCTCCTGGGCATTGGCATTTCACTCCTATGGGCTGGCACTCGCCTCTAGCTTGCTCTGGGGTCTTTTTCACCTGGGCTCTGTAGCAGGCTTAGCAAGCTCACTTTTCTAGACTGGAACAAGGACAATGAGGTGTCTCGGAAGCCCAGCAGTCTGTCTTCAGGCTCGAAGGTGAAGTCTGCATCGAGCCTGCTCAGTAAAGAACCTGCATACTTCCTTCATGGAAGGAGCGAGATGTCCTGTGACAGCCTGCCATGGGGGTAACAAAAGAGGGAGAGGAGGAGTGGCAGGCAGCAGGTTGCTCACGTTTGAGCAGATCCCAGCACTTCCAGGAACTGCCAGGTGGTTTCTAGGTCTACATTTTGTCAACTCCAAGGTGTTACTTATACAACGCTCCAATATATTATGACCCACCAAGAAAGGAAAACGCCTCCATTTAAGAACATTCTACTGAGTGTGATGGTGTGTGCCTGAAATCCCAGCATTTCGGGAGGCTGAGGTGGGAGGATGGCTCAAGTCCAGGTGTTGAAGCCTGCAGTGAGCTGTGATCTCGCCACTGTACTCCAGCTTGAGTGCCAGAACAAGACCCTGTCTTTATTTTATTTATTTATCTTCTTCAGTGTTACCTGCCAAAGGACCCTGTCTTTAAAAGCACACATAGGTGCATGCAGATGGCATCACCTGGAGCAAGCTTAAGCTGCACGCTACTATTGAAGACAATGGCTGAACAAATTAAGAGAGCAGAAGTTCACGAGTGTATTTCACACAGCCAGCCAAAAACACTTCAAGGCTAAAAACAAAGCCAAACCAGTTACCTCTAATCTTAAGAAGATAAACGCTATGAATGATGAAAAAGTTAGCAGAGTAGACGAAGCTTTTGTATTCAAAAACCGCAATCATTTTTGCACTAATCTAATAAATGTACAAGAGAGATTTGCACACTCTCAAAAGGCCTTTCTCCTGAACCTCTGCAGAAAGAACTGATTCCTCAGCAGCATCATGAAAATAAACTAGTTAATATTGATGAAGCTACAAAACTAATGGCTCAGTTCAAATATAGTGGTGATGCATCTAATTCCCCCAAAAGACCCATAAATTAAATGTTTTTTTTTCTTTTTTTTTGAGACGGAGTTTTGTTCTTGTTACCCAGGCTGGAGTGCAATGGCCCGATCTTGGCTCACCGCAACCTCCGCCTCCTGGGTTCAGGCAATTCTCCCGCCTCAGCCTCCTGAGTAGCCGGGATTACAGGCACACGCCACCATGCCCAGCTAATTTTTTGTATTTTTAGTAGAGACAGGGTTTCACCATGTTGACCAGGATGGTCTCGATCTCTTGACCTCGTGATCCACCCGCCTCGGCCTCCCAAAGTGCTGGGATTACAGGTGTGAGCCACCGCGCCTGGCCCAAATGTTTTATACAATTAAAAAAGCACATTGTACAGCTCTAGACAAATTTTCTTTTTTATTTTTAATTCAGTCACAGACACCTCATACAGGAGACAAATTTTCTTTATATCCTTATTCTATGAGCTTTTTTCTATTTTAAGAGTTAAGCACTTTAAAAAAAAAAACTTTTATTAAAAACAAAGACAGTTGCCGGGTGCGGTGGCTCAAGCCTGTAATCCCAGCACTTTGGGAGGCTGAGGCGGGTGGATCACGAGGGCAAGAGATTGAGACCATCCTGGTCAACATGGTGAAACCCCGTCTCTACTAAAAATGCAAAAAATCAGCTGGGCATGGTGGCGCATGCCTGTAGTCCCACCTACTCAGGAGGCTGAGGCAGGAGAATTGCCTGAACCCAGGAGGTGGAGGTTGCGGTGAGCCGAGATCGCGCCATTGCAGTCCAGCCTGGGTAACAAGAGCGAAACTCAGTCTCAAAAAAAGAAAGAAAGAAAGAAAAAGAATAATAATAATAAAAAGAATGATGAAGAGGAAGAAAGAGTAAGAGGAAGAGGGAGAGAGAACGGGGGTGTTGCTTTATTGCCTGGGCTAGAATGCAGTATAAAAATGGGTATTCCTATAACTGTGCTTAATAATGAAGACACAAAAAAAATGAGGGAAGAAAACAACAAACAAGCAGCCAAGCAATGTTTCACTTAAACCTGTAAGTAGGTTTGATGTGGTACTGATAAGAGTGTGTGTTTTGTGTATTTAAAGTGGAGAGTTCTATAAATGTTAAGTTTACTTGTTCCGGATCCAAGTTCAAGTCCTGTATGTCGTTGCTAATTTTCTGTCTCATTGATCTGTCTAATATTGATGATGAAGTCTTCCACTATTATTGGGAAACTTAATAATAATATATGTGAGTTTATTACTGCCATTTAATGTTAGCTGGCTGTTTTGCCCATTAGTTGATATAAATTCTTCATTATGTTGATGCTCTTTACTTTTTGGTATTTTTGGTATTTTTTAGAAAGGCTGATACTGGTTGTTTCTTTCTATGTGTAGTGGTTCTTTCAGAAGCTTTTGTAAAGCAGGCCTGGTGGTGATGAAATCTCTGCAGGCCTGGTGGTGATGAAATCTCTGAGTGCTTGCTTGTTCACAAAATATTTTATTTTTCCTTTGCTTATGAAGCTTAGTTTGGCTGGATGTGAAATTCTGGGTTGAAAGTTCTTTTCTTTAAGGATGTTGAATATTGGCTCCCACTCTCTTCTGGCTTGTAGGGTTTCTGCTGAGAGGTCTGCTGTAAGTCTGATAGGCTTCCCTTTGTGGGTAATCTGACCTTTGTCTCTGGCTGCCCTTAGTATTTTCTCCTTCATTTCAACCCTGGTGAATCTGATGATTATGTGCCTTGAGGTTGGTCTTCTTGAGGAATATCTCTGTGGTGTTCTCTGTCTTACCTGGAATTGAATCTTGTCCTGCCTTGCTAGGTTGGGAAAGTTTTCCTGGATAATATCCTGAAGCGTATTTTCCAGCTTGGACTCATTCTCTTTGTCACATTCAGGTACACCTATCAAGCGTAGATTAGGTCTTTTCACATAGTCCCATATTTCTTGGAGACTTTGCTCGTTCCTTTTTATCCTTTTTTCTCTAATCTTGTCTTCTCATTTTATTTCATTAAGTTGGTCTTCGACCTCTGATATCCTTTCTTCTGCTTGATCAATTCGGCTGTTAAAACTTGTGCATACTTTGCAAAGTTCTTGTGCTGTGTTTTTCAGCTCCATTAATTCACTTATATTCCTCTCTAAATCGTGTATTCTTGTTAACATTTCATCAAACCTTTTTTCAAAGTTCTTAGTTTCTTTGCATTGGGTTAGAGCAAGTTCTTTTAACTCACATACATTTCTTATTATCCACCTTTTGAAGCCTGCTTCTGATAATGGAACACACTCGTTCTCCATCAGGCCTTGTTCTGTTGCTGATGAGGGACTGTGATCCCCTGTAGAGGGAGAGGCGTTCTGATTTTGGGTATTCTTGGCCTTTTTAGCCTATTTTCTTCCCTTCGTTGTAGATTTATCCATCTGTGGTCTTTATAATTACCGTCTTTATAATTGGGTTTCTGAGTGGACGTCCAACTTGTTGATTCCCAGCGCCGGAATCTGAGCAACCCACCGCGCCGGCTAAAACAGCCGCGTTAAGATTGATGGTGCTTTTCTGACTCTGCACCAAGAACCGCTGCACCAAGGCAGTGGCAAAACCACCTCACTGGCCACAAGAGTCGCGCTGGCGACCCGTGGGGCTCCTTTGCTGGGAATCTCCTGGTGTATGAGCAACAAAAATTCTTCTGAAAGTGTGGCGTCCTCTCGTTCTCTGCGCTTTCACTGGGAGCTACAATCCTGAGCTGCTAGTGATCAGCCATCTTGGATCTCTCTCCTTTTTTCTTTCTTTTTTGAGATGGAGTCCTGCTCTGTCACCCAGGCAGGAGTGCAGTGCCTGGGTGACAGGTGGCGGGATCTCGGCTCACTGCAACCTCTGCCTTCCAGGTTCAAGCGATTAAAGGAAATCTCAATTTCTCTTCTCATTTTGTCCCCAGATTGCCTTGGGTCCCCAGTATTTACTCCCATTAAGGCAGACATAAGCGGCAACATCACGGTACGTACCTGGCCGGGCAGCCACAGCCCAGTTCTCGCATCAGGAATCTAAGCCCACCCGGGTTCCCAGCACCGTGGTCTCAGGTGCAAGCTTCCCAGCCTGAGGAAGGGGAGGGAGACATGGAAGATGGGCCCCAAGCTTGTCCGATTGGGGCTCGATGTTCTCGGCCCTCCTCCACAGTCTAGCCTGACTGGGACCAAAGTCTAATTAAAGTGTTGACCCTGAGAAAGAACCTGCTGGTTTTTCATCTATCCCCACCAAATAAGCAAGCTCCTAAGTCCACAGTCAGCACGCGTCTGGCCCTCCCCTTCTCCAATCCTGGCAGTTCCTGATGTCATGTCCCCAGCCATAGCCTCCCTCCCTGCCTGTGAGAATCCACGTGGGGCCCAGCCAAGGGCTTGGGACATCCTGCATGGTCTCATTTCTCCATCCCAGCAGCCCTTTGAGGCTGGTCCTGTGTTATCCCCTTTTTACAGATGAGGAAGCTGAGACTCAGAGGGGTTGAAGGACTCACTTAAGGTCACAAGCAAGTAAGTGGCAGAGCTGGGATTCAGACCCAGGCCTACCCGGCTGCATCTCAGAGGCCTTCGTTCCCGGACGTCTGAATCCTCGGAACCTATTTCCACTTGTCCACCAAAGCAGAACTTCGATGCTTGGTGTCTGAGGCAGCGTCGGTAGCAGCTGGAGAACATGGACTCTGCACCGACTGTGTGACCTTGGGCAAGTCTGTGCCCCTCTGTGAGCCTCAGTGTTTCTGCCTGTAAAATGGGATAATGACAGCAGCATCAGGCTTGCGACTGGGGTCATATAAGGCAGTGCCTGTAAAGCACTTGGCAAATCCTGGTTCATGCGAACAGTCGTAGTTATTGTTCTAAGTTTTGTCCCTACTGCTCCTGGAGCACAGGAAGGAACAGGAGATGCCGGTGGGATGCTCTTCACCCAGCATGTGGGCCAGATGTCTGTGGGGACAACTTACCCAAGGGGAAATCCTGTGTGCTCCATTTCAGAAAATCAAAGCGGTGTATGACACCAACCCAGCCAAGTTCCGGACCCTGCAGAACATCCTGGAGGTGGAGAAAGAAATGTACGGAGCAGAGTGGCCCAAAGTAGGGGCCACACTGGCGCTGATGTGGCTGAAAAGGTGACGGGCTCAGGTGGCAAGGCCCAGGCTCTGGGCTGCAAAGGAGGGAAAGCAAACTCATCACTGTTCTGTGGTGTCAGCTCAGGCTGGGAAGGTCACTCCCCAGCCCTTCCAGTGCGATGCCCGTTAATGGCTGGGAAGAGGCCTCCCAAGGGCCAGGGTCTGGCTGGCAGTGATGCTTCCTGGTTCCAGTCCCCTCAGAGCATATGAGTGAGCACATACCCCTGTCTGGGCATTGTGCTAAGCTCTTTATACACCTGGTTGGGTTTCATATGCTGTGAGTTAGGTGTGGTAGCTATTCGCATCTCACAGAGGAGGCTTCTGGTGCTTCTTGAGGCCAAATCACGTGCCCATGTCGTCTAGCACAGTTGTGCAAGTTGCGTACTGCACAGAGGTATCCTGTTCAGGGCTGGTCACGCGTACAAAGTGGGTTTGTATGTCATGACAGTTTCTTGGTAAAATTACACCATCTTGAGAAGGAGTTCTTTTATTTTTATTTTTTATGTGTAGACAGAATCTCGTTCTGTTGCCCAGGCTGGAGTGCAGTGGTGCAATCTCAGTTCACTGCAGCCTCCACCTCTCGGATTCAAGCAATTTTTGTGCTTCAGCCTCCTAAGTAGCTTGGATTACAGGTGTGCACCACCATGCCTGTTTAATTTTTGTATTTTTTTGTGAGACAGAGTCTCACTTTGTCACCAGGCTGGAGTGCAATGGCACAATCTCAGCTCACTGCCACCTCCGCTTCCTCGGTTTGAGCAATTCTCCTGCCTCAGCCTCCTGAGTAGCTGTGACTACAGGCACGTACCATCATGCACAGATAACTTTTGTATTTTTAGTAGAGACGGGGTTTTACCGTCTTGGCCAGGATGGTCTCAATCTCTTGACCTTGTGATCCACCCGCCTCGGCCTCACAAAGTGCTGGGATTATAGCCTTTCTAGGGGACCCTCAATGCTTTCTTCTGTGAAATGATCTGATTGTACCAAGCTCAGCCTCACGGGTCTGAGGGAAGCAAGAGATGAGATCATGGGTGCCAAGGGGCGGGCCCTGATGAGATGTTTGATGTGGACTCCTTGCTGTGCTGCATCCACTTCTGGCTCATGAAACGTTACCCTACCCCTTAAGGAAAGGCTCGGGTGGCCATTGGAGGATGCCCGGGGAGGTCTCAGGCACAGGGGCAACGAAGCAGATTTAGAAAGATGCTGAGGGCTAGAAGTGGAGGTGGGGGGCCCAGGGCACGTGGGGCCAGTCTCGGCAGCGTGCCCAGTGTGTCCACGGTCTGTGGTCTGTGAGCCCTTTGAGGGCCAGCACTGTGGCTTCATTCCTTAAGCACTGATGGCTGCCTACCCTGTGTCAGACTGTGGGGGTCACGTGGACACAGAAATGGACAAGGCAGCCCCAGACCCATCCCTCATGGATCTTCCAGCCAGTGGGACTATTGTCACAGGCCAGCACCAGGCCTGGAGGAGAGAAGGTGCTTGGGAGATAGTGAATGGAGCCAAGTGGTCACGTTACTTATAAGCAGAAGGGAAGATGATTAGGGAATAATCACCCCCTCTGGGGTGTACATGTTCCTGGCTCACAGTAGGTGCCTAATTCAGAGTCCATGAGGGTCTTCACAGCAGAACTGTGCAGGTCCTAACAAACCTCCTCCCTGGGCCGTAGGGGCCTCCGTTTCATCCAGGTCTTCCTCCAGAGCATCTGCGACGGGGAGCGGGACGAGAACCACCCCAACCTCATCCGTGTCAACGCCACCAAGGCCTATGAGATGGCCCTCAAGAAGTACCACGGCTGGATCGTGCAGAAGATCTTCCAGGTGAGCCGCGCCCGCCAGCCCCAAAGAACCACACAGGTTCTGCTCCCTGCTCTGCTGCTGCTTGGCCGAGGCCTCCTGGCCTGTGAGGCTGCATTTGACCCCTTGGGCTCAGGAAGGGTTCCCCCGTTTATTTGGGTGAGGCTGGTATCCTGAGAGGTTCCCCTCCTGTGCCCTTGGCCCGCCCCACTCACGGCCACGGCAGGTGTCACTGTAGATACTCCGTGGTGTTTCTCTTTGGGGCGTTGGCCTATGAGGCCCGATGTGGGGGCAATGAGAGAAACCACGGGGAAGGCCCTGGAGGACCCCAGGTTGATGGTGACCCAGCATGACAGCCCCCAGATTCAGCCTAGATCCCTACCTGGGGCACGTGGGGAAAGAAGGGCCCCATCCCTTTGGGAGCATCTGCTGAAAGGCTCTTTGGGTTCTTGGTATCTTGTGTTGGGGTGACACTGGCCAGGGCTCCTAGAAGTGAGGCTGCAGCACCTGCCTGGTTAGCTGAGGGCTCCAGGGTTGGTGACTGGCCTGAGAGCCCTGCTCAGGAGACATCCGAAGGCCCTCTGGCTGCCCTGTGCCATGCCCATCACCTGCTGCTTGTGGCCCTCATGTCACCTGCGTGTCCCTGCCCAGCCTGTTCTAGCCACTCTTTCTGCTGTAGCTCCCTCTGCCTGCCCACCCTGGCAGCCATGGGTATGAGGGGCTGACGGGCCCTGTTCAGTGTTCCTGTGGGGTACAGGCTGCAGGCAGCCTGGGGCAGAAGCTAGTATGGTTCCAGAGAGGAGGAGCTGGTCATAGGCTGAGATGCATGGCGATCCCTGGGCTGTCCGCCCTGGCAGAGCCGGAAACAGGCTCATTCCCGTGGCCCTCGAGAGCTCCACAGTGCATTGCCCTTACAAATTCTCAAACCACCCCAATAATAACAGTGTGTCCTTTGTACCCGGCCAAGGGCAGCTGCCCATGATTTGTAATCTTCACAAATGCACCACAAGGTGGGCACTGTTCTCACCTCCATTTCCCAGGTAAGGACAGTGATGCTCACCAGGTCACACAACACAAAATTGGGGGGCTGTGATCCTACCTACCTGAGCCTCAGTATCCTCATCTTTCAAATGGGTATAAAATAAGCCCTACTCAAAGAGTCATTGTGATGATTAAGTGAATTCATCAGTATAAAGTGCTTGACACATGGTTCACATGGTTTACACTCAGACATCAAAGTCATTATTATTATTATTATTATTGTTATTATTATTATTATTTTGAGATAGGGTCTCACTCTGTCGCCTAGGCTAGAGTGCAATGGTGCAGTCTTAGCTCACTGTAACCTCCACTTCCCAGGCTCAAGCGATTCTCCAGCCTCAGTCTCCTGAGTAGCTGGGACTACAGGTGCGAGCCACCAATGCCTAGTTAATTTTTTTTTTTTTTTTTTTTTTTTTTGAGACGGAGTTTCGCTCTTGTTACCCAGGCTGGAGTGCAATGGCGCGATCTCGGCTCACCGCAACCTCCGCCTCCTGGGTTCAAGCAATTCTCCTGCCTCAGCCTCCTGAGTAGCTGGGACTACAGGCACGCGCCACCATGCCCAGCTAATTTTTTGTATTTTTAGTAGAGACAGGGTTTCACCACATTGACCAGGATGGTCTTGATCTTTCGATCTCGTGATCCACCCGCCTCAGCCTCCCAAAGTGCTGGGATTACAGGCTTGAGCCACCGTGCCCGGCTCAATTTTTGTATTTTTTGTAGAGATGAGCTTTCACCATATTGCCCTACCTGGTCTTGAAAACTCCTGAGCTTAAAGCAATTCTCTTATCTCAGCCTCCCAAAGTGCTGGGATTACAGACATGAGCCACCAGCCCAGCTATTACTACTTTTATTATGAAGAAATAGTTAGTATTTGGTCGGGCACGGTGGCTCACACCTGTAATCCCAGCACTTTGGAAGGCTAAGGCAGGTGGATCACCTGAGGTCAGTAGTTGAAGACCAGCCTGGCCAACATGGTGAAACCCTGTCTTTATTAAAAATACAAAAAATTAGTCAGGCATGGTGGCGGGCTTCTGTAGTCCCAGCTACTCGGGAGGCTGAGGAAGGAGAATTGCTTGAACCTGGGAGATGGAGGTTGCAGTGAGCTGAGATTGGGCCACTGCACTCCAGCCTGGGTGACAGAGCGAGACTTTGTCTCAAAAAAAAAAAAAAAAAAAGAATATTTATACTTTCTCAGCCTATCAAACTCATAGCCTAAGCTTTTTTCTTTTCTTTTTTTTTTTTTTTGGTGAGACAAAGTCTCGCTTTGTCATCTAGGCTGGAGTGCAGTGGTGTGATCTCAGCTCACTGCAACCTCTGCCTCCCAGGTTCAAGTGATTCTTCTGCCTCAGCCTCCCACGTAGCTAGGACTGCAGGCGTGTGCCACTACACCCAGCTAATTTTTGTATTTTTAGTAGAGACGGGTTTCATTATATTGGCCAGGCTGGTTTTGAACTCCTGACTTTGTGATCCACCGCCTCAGCCTCCCAAAGTGCTGGGATTACAGGCGTGATGAGGCGCCGTGCCTGGTTAGCCTACGCTTTTTATCCAGTTGCACCTTTTTTCTTCTGGCTCTGAAATTCTGTGAATTTCTAATTCTCTGCACTTTTCAAGTATCAGAGCAACCGTGAAATTTAGAGAAGTATCGCCCCCCTAAGGACAAAAATGAGACCACAGCACAGATTAGCAGTCTTCTCCCTGGCTCAGAAAGTGGGTTTTTCTGAATGTATTTTGCATATGAAAAGGACACTTAAAAAGAAAGAAAAGAAAGTGGGTTTTCCCAAGGACTGGTTCACCTTTTCCAGAGCAGGGAACCCAGAGGGAAAAGACTCAACCATGCTGAACACCTACTGTGTGCCTGGTGTTGTGCTGAGCGCCTACCGTATGCCTGGTGCTATGCTGAGCACTTTGTACAACCCCCTTAATCCTTATAAAAGCAACCCGAATGACCGGGCGCAGTGGCTCACACCTGTAATCCCAGCACTTTGGGAGGCTGAGGTGGGCGGATCACCTGAGGTCAGGAGTTTGAGACCAGCCTGACCAACATGGAGAAATCCTACCTCAACTAATAAAAATACAAAAAATTAGCTGGGTGTGGTGGTGCCTGTAATCCCAGCTACTCAGAGGCTGAGGCAGAATTGCTTGAACCCGGGAGGCTGAGATCGCACCATTGCACTCCAGCCTGGGCAACAAGAGTGAAACTCCATTTCAGAAAACAAAAAAAAAACCCCGATTAGGTGGGAGCCATTATCCCCATTTTGCAGATGAGGAAACTGAATCTCAGAGAGGCTAAGTGACTTGCTCAAGGCTCACAGCTAGTTGGTGGCCCAAACTGGCATTTGCACCCAGGTATGTCTGTCCCCAAAGCTGATGTCCTTCCTGCTGTCTCTCAAAATATACCTCCCTTTTCCTTTCCCTTCCAACACCTCAAATAGCACAGCCCCCTGTCCAGCACAGACCCAGGGGAGACCCTCCAGGAACCCTGCCTGCTGGCCTGGCTTCTCTGCCCCTACTAATGCTGTGCCTACCTCCCTTCTTGCCTGTCTCAAGGCAGCACTGTATGCAGCCCCCTATAAGTCCGACTTCCTGAAAGCACTCTCCAAGGGGCAGAATGTGACAGAGGAGGAGTGCCTGGAGAAGATCCGCCTCTTCCTGGTCAACTACACGGCCACCATCGATGTCATCTACGAGATGTACACCCAGATGAACGCGGAGCTTAACTACAAGGTGTAGTCATGCCGACTGCTGGGCACGCCCCCGCCTTGAGGCCGCACGGAGAAACAGGCAAACCAGAATCACTGTGAATCAAGTCAGCGGCTGCCCCTGGCGTGCGGCTGCCCCTGGCGTGCGTCCCCCAGAGCAGCCCAGGGTCCTGCCAGAGTCTGCAGGGGCAGCCCTCATTTTTTAAAAGTATTTTTTTGTTTTGGTCTATTCTAAAGGACCAGTAAATAATGATCTTACTTCCAAATCTCCTTGGAATTTCACGACAGCACAGACTGACTTATGCCTTCATTTCAGTGTGGTGAAAATCGATTAACGCTTCTAATGAATCAAGTCCTAGGGTTTTTTGGTTTTGTTTTGTCGCCAATGAGGAACACAACTCTGGGGGAGTGATGTCATCCACCTCACTTTAAAAATAAGCACATGATGGCCGGGCGCGGTGGCTCACGCCTGTAATCCCAGCACTTTGGGAGGCAGAGGCGGGCGGATCACCTGAGGTCTGGAGTTCGAGACCAGCCTGACCAACATGGTAAAACCCTGTCTCTACTAAAAATACAAAAAATTAGTCGGCGTGGTGGTGCATGCCTGTGGTTCCTGCTACTTGAGAGGCTGAGGCAGGAGAATTGCTTGAACCCGGGAGGCGGAGGTTGCAGTGAACCGAAGTTGCACTCCAGCCTGGTTAACGAGAGCAAAACTACTTCTAAAAAAAAAAAAAAAAAAAAAAGAGGCGGGTGGATCACTTGAGGTCAGAGTTCAACACTAGCCTGACCAACATGGGTGAAACCCTGTCTTTACTAAAAATACAATATTAGCCAGGTACGGTGGCACATGCCTGTAATTCCAGCTTCTTGGGAGGCTGAGGCAGGAGAATTGCTTGAACCTGGGAGGCGGACATTGTTGTAGCCAAGATTGCACCACTGCATTCCAGCCTGGGCAACAAGAGTGAAACTCCGTCTCAAAAAAAAAAAAAAAAAAAAGCTCGTGACCTTATATGAGGCTCTCGTTGTATTGCTATTTTGGTTATTTTAAGGACTATGAAGAGTTTGATTTGAAATTATGCAGGGTCCCTGTGTTTTTTTTTTTTTTTTTTTTTTTAAGCAAACTGGTATGTATTCTCATGTGGTTTGCACGGCCCAGCCTCACAGCACTGTTATAAACCCTGCTCTTTCTGTCTTTTGCGAGACAGGTTTTGTTTGTTTGTTTTTACAGCTGAAACCAACCAGCAAGCCCTTGATGACCAAGAGGCGTTTCTTTCAAAGCTATAGGGCACAAACAGTTGACCACAGATTACTAAGTTTGCATTGTTCTGCAGAATTATTTCCTTCAGGGACAGATTTTCCAACCTAAGAAACTACCTACTGTATGTATTCTCTTGACGGAGAGAAGAACCCTTCAGCCGCTAAGACCCAAGAAAACGCCTCACTGCCTTAACCTTAACTGTTCTTCCTGGCGCTAAAAAGAGCTGTATTTTTTAAACTGCTGGGGCAAGCAAAGCAACCCCAAAAGAATTGATGCGTGTTTAAAAAAAAAAAAAAAACCCAATGAGGAACAACTGGTGATTTTTATGCAGAAACTAAATAATCCTTAATAAATAAATCTATTTTGGAATCACATCTGTGTACTGTATTGGTTCTTGATTTTTTTTTTTCTTTTCTGCTTTAGAAATTACAACTGGGGACCCTTATAGATCCTACCAAGAGTCCGGGTGCGGTGGCGCCTGCCTGTAATCCCAGCACTTTGGGAAGTCAAGGTGGTTGGATCACTTGAGGTCAGGAGTTCAAGACCAACCTGGCCAACGTGGTGAAACCCCATCTCTATTAAAAATACACACAAAAAATTAGCTGGGCACAGTTGTCAGCACCTATAATCCCAGCTACTCTAGAGGCTGAGGCAGGAGAATTGCTTGAACCTGGGAGGCAGAGTTTACAGTGAGCTGAGATTGAGACACTGTACTCCAGCCTGGGCAGCAGAGCAAGACTCTGTCAAAAAAAAAAAAAAAAACAAAACAAAAAAAAAAAACCCCAAAAAACCAAGAATCTGTTTTCTGGCCTCCATGGTTTTAAAATTTTATTTATTTATTTTATTTTTAAATGTTTTTGTAGAGATTGGGGTCTTGCTATGTTGCCGAAGCTGGTCTCAATCTCCTAGCCTCAAGCAATCCTCCTGCCTCAGCTTCCCAAAGGGTTGGGATTATAGGTGTGAGCCACTGCACCAGGCCTGGCCTCCATGGTTTTAAAAAACAGAACTGCTTGCTGCATTGAGAAATGGGAATTTCACGTAAGAATCTCGGGTTTCGGCAGGGCAAGGTGGCTCACACCTGTTCTCCCAGAACTTTGGGAGGCCAAGGCAGGTGGAACACTTGAAGTCAGGAGTTCAAGACCAGCCTAGCCAACATGGTGAAACCCTGTCTCTACTAAAAATACAAAAACTACCCAGGTGTGGTGGTGGGTGCCTGTAATCCCAGCTACTTGGGAGGCTGAGGCAGGAGAATTGCTTGAACCTGGGAGAGGGAGATTGCAGTGAGCTGAGATCACACCACTGCACTCCACCAGCCTGGGTGATAGAGTGAGACTGTCTCAAAAAATATATATATAATATCTTGGGTTTCTGTAGCCATAAAAAAGAGTGAGAATGAGTTCATGTTCTTTGCAGGGACATGGATGAAGCTGGAAGCCATCATTCTCAGCAAACTAACAGGAACAGAAAACCAAACATCACATGTTCTCATAAGTCGGAGTTGAACAATGAGAACACTTGGACACGGGGAGGGGAACAGCACACACGGGGGCCTATCGGGGGGTGGGGGGGTAAGGGGAGGGAGAGCATGAGGACAAATACCTAATGCATGCAGGGCTTAAAACCTCGATGATGGGTTGACAGGTGCAGCAAACCACCATGGCACATGGATACCCATGTAACTAAAAAAAAGCCAGAAAACAAAACATGAGTCTTGGGTTTCTAGCTTTTTTTTTTTTTTTTTTTTTGAGACGCAGTTTTCACTCTTGTTACCCAGGCTGGAGTGCAATGGCGTGATCTCGGCTCACCGCAACCTCCACCTCCCAGGTTGAGGCAATTCTCCTGCCTCAGCCTCCTGAGTAGCTGGGATTACAGGCACGTGCCACCATGCCCAGCTAATTTTTTTTTTTTTTTTTTTTTTTTTTTTTGAGACAGAGTTTCGCTCTTGTTACCCAGGCTGGAGTGCAATGGCGCAATCTCGGCTCACCGCAACCTCCGCCTCCTGGGCTCAGGCAATTCTCCTGCCTCAGCCTCCTAAGTAGCTGGGATTACAGGCACGCGCCACCACGCCCAGCTAGTTTTTTTGTATTTTTAGTAGAGACGGGGTTTCACCATGTTGACCAGGATGGTCTCGATCTCTTGACCTCGTGATCCACCCGCCTCAGCCTCCCAAAGTGCTGGGATTACAGGCTTGAGCCACCACGCCTGGCGGGTTTCTAGCTTTTGAAAAACCAGGCTGCCTGGCAGGAGTTGAGAGATGGCTGCCCCCTTGGCTGGGCAGGGTAAAGGAAGGAGGAATGAATTCTACACTTTGCCTGAGCCTCCACCCATCCCTGTTGCCTCCTCACCCCTCCACCAGTTTGCACTTTTTCATGGACTGTTGTTTTTTTCTGATTCTAAGGTTAAATGTAGAGGGAAATATTTATTTTATTTTGTTCCTGCTCCTGTCAAGCTTATAATCTAGTGGGCAAGATGGACCCATAAATCAATAATGATGAAATAGAGTGGTCAGTTCCCAGGCAGAACCTGGAGCCTCAGAGGAGGGGCCGCAGCCTGGGCTGTATCTTAGGGAACTGGGGCATGTACTGAGACTCTGGAAGTTTGGGGGTAGGGGAGCCTAGTAGAAGGGGAGGGGCAGGGGACAACTTCAAGGCACAGGCAAAGACCTGGTGGCTTGACCCACAGCAGGCTGTGTATGTGTGTGTCACATTGCACTATTAAGGGATTTGACTTGACCCTGAAAATTACGGTACCCCTTCAAGGCTCTTGTGTACAATCAAATATACCCAGGTATATGCAGATACCCAGTTTGGAAAGCTCCCTCTGACGTTGTCAAGAGATGGAAGCCTGAAATAAGGTTTTTTGTGTCTGCGATTGTATTATATTTTCTAATAGTCCTTAGATTAGGGATGCTACTGTTCATTCTAAGCTCTAATTCCTTTTTAGGTTTTTTCCCCTTTGGATTTCCTAGAAATACAGAATTCTGTCTCTCCTTTTTAAAGTGATTTTTTCTTTCTTTTCTTTTTTTTTTTTGAGACAGAGTCTAGCTATGTCACCCAGGCTGGAGTGCAATAGTGTGGTCTCGGCTCACTGCAGCCTCCACCTCCTGGGTTAAAGTGATTCTCTTGTCTCAGCCTCCCAAGTAGCTGGGATTATAGGCACACATCACCACATCCATCTAATTGTTATTGTTGTGGTTGTTTTTTTGGAGACAGAGTCTTGCCTCCCAGCCTGGAGTGCAGTGGCACCATCTTAGCTCACTGCAACCTCTGCCTCTCAAGTTCCAGCAATTCTCCTGCCTTAACCTCCGAGTAGCTGGAATTCCAGGTGTGCACCACCATGCCCAGCTAATATTTTTGTATTTTTAGTAGAGACAGCATTTCACTATGTTAGCCAGGCTGGTCTCAAACTCCTGATTGCAAGTGATCTGTCCGCCTTGGCTTCCAAAAGTGTGGGGATTACAGTTGTGAGCTGCTGTTCCCGGCCTTAAAATGATCTTTTCTTTATGTCTCTAACATAATATGGTAAGAATTGGGAGGGTGATTATTTTGTAGAAGGCAGGGATTTTTCCACACCAGCCCCCGTTTTTTATACCTATGGGGATCCTGGGAGCATTTTGGGTTTTTGACTCCAGAGCCAAAAGCTAGCAGGGCATCTATGCCCTTCTCATTTCATCCTTGTCAAAGTGGGACTGAGCTCTGCCTGGGGCAGCGAGGAAAGAACACACATTGGCCACTGTATAACAATCAGGCCCTGCAAAAGTGCTCTGTACAAATCATTTCACAACCACTTGAGATGTGGACCTCAAGCCGGGCGTGGTGGCTCAAGCCTGTAATCCCAGCACTTTGGGCAGCCGAGGTGGGTGGATCACGAGGTCAAGAGATCGAGACCATCCTGGTCAACATGGTGAAACCCCATGTCTACTAAAAATACAAACAATTAGCTGGGCATGGTGGCACGTGCCTGTAATCCCAGCTACTCAGGAGGCTGAGGCAGGAGAATTGCCTGAACCCAGGAGGCGGAGGTTGAGGTGAGCCGAGATTGCGACATTGCACTCCAACCTGGGTAACAAGAGCAAAACTCCGTCTCAAAAAAAAAAAAAAGAGAGAGAGAGAGATGTGGACCTCAGTAGCCCTATTTATCAGAAAAGGAAATTGAACCCCTGAGGGTGTGGCAAAGAGACTTGCCCAGGGTAACCCAGCCAGATGTGGGGTCACAGGAGTTTCATGTCCATCTTCAAATCTCCCCTCGGCCATGTTCACTTGTGTGCCAGCTGACAGGGAGCCCAGCTTCCTGCCAGGATGTGTCCCGCTAATG